TTACGACCATTGCAGCATTCCCACGGTCCAGAGTTACGACCATTGCAGCATTCCCACGGTCCAGAGTTACGACCATTGCCACATTCCCACGGTCCAGAGTTACGACCATTGCAGCATTCCCACGGTCCAGAGTTACGACCATTGCAGCATCCCTACGGTCCAGAGTTACGACCATTGCCACATTCCCACGGTCCAGAGTTACGACCGTGCAGCTTTCCCACGGTCCAGTGTTATGACCATTGCAGCATCCCGCAATCAAATTTAGGACGCTTCCCAACCGACTCCTATTTATGACGGTGGCAGTGTCCCGGGGCTTGTGACCATCTGACCAGCGAAGCCAAAGGGGAAGCCGGATCCATTTAACAACCACATCGCTAACTTGATTCACGTATAACCACGGTGGACAAGCAAGGTCGTAAAACGGGGCGAAACTCCCTTCCCTTCGCTTAGCAACTGAAATTTTGGGACTCTGTGGTGGTCGTAAGTCGAGGACCACACTAAAAAGAAAAACTGAGGAACGCAACAAAAATAAATCAGTTCCACAAAGCCAGGAACTCAAACTATGGTATTTTGAAATTATGACATTTTTATTCACCGCCTGTCGTCCTGCCGGATGTGACTTCTAAAAGGACGCTGTTTTCGTCGTATTTGTCCCTCGGCATTATCTTCTCACACAGCTGAAGAAAGGGGGAAAAAAGCGAAACATCGGTTGACAAATAACCTTATACGCCCATTTCGACGGTGTTCATAACTTCCGTTGTCGGATCTTAAGAATTCCCTTTGTAATTGAGAGTAGTCCTCTACTTATGACCGCAAGGGAACCCAAAGCTTTCTGTTGCTAAACGAGACATTTGCTGAGTGAGCTTCGCCCCATTTTACGACCTGGATTGCCACAGTTACTAAGTGAATTGCGGCAAGTTGTTAAGTTTAGTCGCACGGTCGTTAAGGGAATCGGGCGTCCCAGTGGACTCTGTTCCTCAGCAGGTCACAAAAGGGAGGTCACGTGACTCCGGAACACTGCAACAGTCCCAAGTACATGCCAGTTGCCAAGTTTCTGTATTTTGATTGCATCACCATGGGGAGACCACCATGATCAGAGCTGAAGAAGCTTCTTGGATGAGAAGCAAAACGTCTTCAAGGGAAAAAAAATCAAGAAAGTCCAGTTGCCTCTTGAAAAAAGCACCTTTGGGACAACCAGGGACTGGATGATGGAGGATCTCCATGGACATTCCTTTGAAAATGTTTTGCTTCTCATCCTAGTCTCTTCAAAGGAGGAGGAGGAGGAGGAGAAGGAGAAGGAGAAGGAGAAGGAGAAGGAGAAGAAGAAGAAGAAGAAGAAGAAGAAGAAGAAGAAGCAGCCCCCTGTGAAGCAGAACTGAAGAAGCTTCTTGGATTTGCTTCTCATCCAAGTAGCCTCTTCAAAGGAGGAGGAGGAGGAGGAGAAGGAGAAGGAGAAGGAGAAGGAGAAGGAGAAGAAGAAGAAGAAGAAGAAGAAGAAGAAGAAGAAGAAGAAGAAGAAGAAGAAGAAGAAGAAG